TAGCTATTTTTCTATCTATTGTGTTTTCTTTTGCAATTTTGTTTGCAGTATTGTTTTCATGCAGAAAATTTTAACCGCATCTCGAGACAATGAACTTTCGTGAAAAGGATTCGCCAAAAGGAAAGAAAAGGATTGGAAAAGAATATTACATTTTGTACGTAATCATACAAATCTTTACCTTCTGTCACGTCAAATCACGATATTTAATCCTTGCACTTCTGAATATTTACGGTTAAAAAAGAAAGTGTTGTCTCAGGAATGTTTTTACTGTATACTTAAGGGTTACGAAAGAATTGAGTTTCCCGTTAAAAAATTTAAACTTTGACATATATACTCGATATCGGGAAGGTCGAATAATCCCGATAGTTTGAGAAAAACGCGGTTTATGGAGACGAGGCGAGAAGATCGTACGATAACATTTTCTCAGGGAAATGTGAAAATCGTATATATCTTTATCCTGGGAAAGGATCCGGAGTGTATTGTTCCATCGAGCGATTTAGCGATAAATTTGCTACCGCATTGAAGTTAAAAGTCTGGCAAAATTATCGAGAGAGACCGATTCTAGATTTGAACTCAGGATTCCCTTACAAATCTGACACTTAGTACTATCTGCACGACCACGACAGCTCCTCTCTGTTAGGTGTTTATAATCCAAATCTCTTTCATGACCGCTCGTCTAATTCTTTTGCAACAATTGCTCAATTAAACAAATTACGAAAATAAAAAAAATGTAAAAAGAGCGATGGGAAGAAAAACTGAATTTTGCTAAATAATTCAGTGAAAAGACGGATATAACATTAAACTTCAATGCGGTATTTCCCTTTCTATTCGCACAAAATTCCAAATCCGTAAAAAGAAAGAGAAAAGATACCTGCATAAATCTGCGCTTCGCGCAGGAGAGTGCCAGGCTACGTCTCTCGTCCGGTCGGCTCTCCTCACTTTGATATATCGTTCGCTCGTTCCAACCACAATGTGTTCGACTCGCGATGAGATGCAGAGACGGAGGCGCGAGATTCCGACGTGACGCTGCACCAACGGCGCTATTAAAACAAAAGTCGTCGTTTATCGCCAGTCTCGCTTGTTTTTCCGTCCTATGGGAGGAACGAGGAGTATCCGAGTGGGATCCAACACAGATGCTTCTGCGAGAACTGGCGAACACTCGATACACCGGTACTCGGTACACCGGTTACGAAACGAGCCTATCGACGCGTCGTCAAAGTACCGTCTAAACGCTCTTAGTTGATTACTATCCTAAACGGTAATTACGAGCGAACGAAACGGAACGGAGCGATGTTCGCACGGGACGACCGACGAACAGAAATAAACGGTACTAGCTCTGGGCTGACCTAACCCAACACTAAGTGACAACCGAGTTCGCTCGCTAGTAGTCAAACATCCCCCACCCCTACACGTCCCAGTCAGCCCCACTACATGCCGCTCCGTGATCCCCACCAGGCGTCGCGGCGCGTTACCCTCTCGAATCGCAACCCCGGATGCGCGAGTCGCCGAAACGCTCCACGTCGCTGGGGTTAGTCTGTGCATGGAAGATGGAGTACGAGGCGCGACAAGAGAAAAAGAGGGAAACAGGTATAGAGAAAGTGGGAGGAAAAGATAGGAGAGAAGTGACAGAGGAAAACGAGAGGGTGGCCGGACGAGGTAGAAGGAAAGAACGACCAGAAAGAGACGTTATTGCGTAGAGAGAGAGAGAGAGAGAGAGAGAGAGAGATGACAACAAGCATGGAGGGGAACGGACGAAGGGAAAGAGGCGGAGGATAAGAAGTTCAGAGAGAGACAGAGTAGAACCTGCGACCGTGATCTACTAAGGAGGGTTGGCGCGTGGTGGAGAGCATGCTTTTTACCCCAAGGAGGTGAAGGAGAAGGTGGGAGATCGCCTAGTCTCGTGGAGTGAAAGGGGGGGGGGTAAACGGGTGGCGAGAGACGCGAAGGGTGCGAAGAACGAGATCACGGCGGGTGCGTCTCACACGGATTCGAAAGTCGGACGAAAGGTTGCTCTCGAGATCGCGCGCCTCTTCTTAAAATTGCAAGACTCACGCGATGAAAATGCAGAGGAAATTGCGAATTGAAGGAATTGAAAATTTTCACACTTTTTCTCTAATCGCGCTGCGATTAACATTGTCTTACGATTGTTCATTTCGATCGCTTAATCGCGCTTCTTCTCGGGAAGCTTTTCATCTCGCGACGCGAATTCACGCGAACGTATACATTCGTTATTTTATGTGTTTGTTGAATATATCGCTTTTGCAATATTGACAGTTCTACGCGTGCACGGCGAGCTTTTTCAAAAGTTCGCCGCGGCTGTCGATATTTCAAAAGCGGTCGATATAAATTGCACAACGATACGTCCGAGAGTCTTCGAGATTATGCGAAAGAGTACTGTTTATAACATTGCGTAAAAGGCAAATCGGTGTAAAAAATATGAAAATCAACGATCGTTAATATACCGCTACTTTTAATAAACGGTTAAGTTACAATTATCAAAGGTATCTCAAATTCAACTTGCAAATTCTTAAATCAATTTGATTATGGTTTATTATGAATAAATCCCTTTGAGATTTTTTTAAGTTTTTGCTAATAAATTGTTAGATTAAAGATTGAGTAAAAGAAAGACTTATTATGTCCTATATATTGGATGCAGATTTACTTTGAAAATTCTTCAAAAACAACTTCTTCTTAAATAATGTTATTTTTCGTAATAAATTTTTTTCATTTTACATTTTGCTACAGGCTATATCTTTCCCTTTTATAATGTTAAAATTCTTTTCACTTCGATTGTCTTAATTGTAAAACGCTCTTTGAAAATAGGAAGAAAAGTGTAAGGTTAAGAATTTACTTTCTTTTTTCGAATATTGTTACATTTTATATGTATGAAGGTCAATTTTCATTTAAGAAAAGAAATTCCACAAATTACTACAATATATTATAGTTTTACCTTATTCAAAAATTTTATTTAGTATTTTTAAGATGGACATCAGTAATTTTAAGTTATCAAGTATGATAATTTAAAATTATTGATATATGACATGTCTAAATAAAATTATTTAAAAAAATACTTTGTCTTATAATTTTGCTATAATTAAATAAAATTTTTAAAAATATTTTAACCTTGTAATTTTGTTATGTACATCATGATAATGTAATCACGACGCAAATGTGACTAATAAGATTACAATGCGATTCAATTCAAAAGCCATTGTATCTTTACGATAAAATAAACAAACATGATAATTTGTAAGGAATTCTCAAAAATGACAATTGACTCAGAAAAGTGACTTTGATAACAATATGCTCGGAGCTATACGGAACTACCGTCTTCTGTTTTCTCGACAAAACGGAATCAGCTACGATAAGCGACGCGGTCAGGAGAGAGGGAACGTCAGGAGTGCACGCGCGGCACTCACGCTTGCTCTTCCATCTCACCTGCTCGCGCGCGCGCGCGCGCGCGCGGCGGGCGTGCGTAGCGCGTGCCTGTAACCGAGAATTCATGACGTAGCAGTCACCATCACACACGTATGTTTAGCCGCGATAAAAAAATAGAAGAATACTCCTCGGATCCCCCCGTGCTGGATGTCACGCATATACGCGTGAACGAGCTCTCGCGCGCCCTTCGTGGCACGCACGAGAGAATCGCGCGTGCAGCCACATCGCTCCGTGTCGGTGTGACACTCGCACACGTGAGTAGATACGCATGTACGTTGGTGCAAGGGTAGCGCGAGCACTCCACCCTGTCAGCCGCCTGTCGTCGCCGTGGAGACAAGGACGGAGATTCGAACGAGCGAGCGAGCGAGAAAGAGAAACGGAAAGAACGACTGAAAGGCGAGACGTCGAAGGCGAACGTGAGAGAGAAAGAGAGAGAAAGAGAACCAGATAAAAAAGAGAGAAAAAAAAGAAAAGGCCGAACGCAGGGAATCGGAGTGCGGGATCTGGGGCGATTGTCGAATTAGTGAGTCGGCCGATCCACAAGAGGCTCCTTTCCGTGTTACTGAAAATACCTCTCTTCTTTTTTTTTCTTCCTTTCCTCTACGCATTTATCTGCGTTTGCAGATGCGCCGGATCGGAATGCGCGTTGATCGAATTTGATTGAATTCTACCAAATGACGATTCTGCTACAGTTTCATTTACGGCGGTTATTGTTCATTTGTTCGTATCGAGTACTACAATCCGAAGACAATTCTGGCTTTTTTAAAATTGATATGAAATTGCGCTATTTAATACGGGTGTTGCTCCCGACTTTCGGATCGCATCGAACGAACAATCGATCGAGAGACTTTTTTTGTCTGTCGAATGTCATACGTTTTGGGATTTTTCGATCGAGGGGAGGTCGAAGAGGCGGGACAGATGAAGAGAGAAAGAGAGCTGTGAGTATGGCGCAAAAGTACTTCCGCATACAAACCTGACAAAATATTATGAAAAACCGCAGGCAAACAACCGAACTCTATATAACTCGCAAAGTGTTCGGAATGGATAGAGAAAAAAAATTTATCTTCAATTATATAAAAATATTTGTTGTGTAATATATGAAACGATAGAGAATTAATTATTATGTAACATGTAAATTTGTTCAAAATTAAAAAAATATATTGAATAATAATAAATTGAAAAGAAAAATTTAACTGTGGTTTTGAGCCGCTACGTTTCAAATTCATTAAAAATAACAGCACGATTAATGACAAACATTTATTTCTACACACACATATATATATATATATATATATATATATATATGAATTAAAAATTTATAAACAATATATATAATAAAATAAATTATATATACAAATTAAAAAATAAAATGATATTAGATGCCTATCTTATCTTGCCGAATATTGCTTCCTTTTGTTCTCAGTTGGCATCCTTATTATTTATTTAATAATATTTAATATTTTAATATTTTGTACATAACAATATTGCATTCTTTATTGCTTGTATTTTTTTTTTACTTGTTGAATATTCTCAGCTTATGTATATTGAATTGATATAAATAAAAATTTTATATCTTATTTATTTGTCTAAGAAAATATTTAATAAAAAATGCTATCATACTTTAAAGAATTTTTAGATTTTTAAAGTAAAGATTTTGCATTTTTGACAGATTTTTTTTTATCGATTTGACAAATTTTCGATGTTAATAATCAAGCTGTGCTATTATTTACATTTATATATTCACACGAAGAAAATGTACAATAGGTGTATTGTTGATTATTTACTCTTAATCATAGATGTCAAAGAAACAAAATATGACAAATTATTGTGATATTCTTCAATGCTTTTATTGTACCTGTTCGGTGTTTTTGGTATATCATAATTTGCCTAGCTTTATTTCAAAAAAAGGAAAAGATTTCTCTCAACAACATAGATAGAATCATTTATAACCTAGTCCTAATACCAAGAGAATAATAAAATAATTTCAATAATATAGTGCCCAAAATATAATGCCTAAAATTTAAAACTTCACAAGAAAATTGCACTGTCACACTGATACAATTACTCAGTCGTTACTGATTGCCAATCAATAAGAATATACATATTGTAAACGTATGTGTGTAAATAAACACATATTTCTGAGAAATAGTTAGAAAAAATGAAATCATATTGTATGCATTGTTTAACAATATATTAACAAGTAGAAATGCATGAAAATTGAAAAATGAAAAATTGACTATATTGTTGCTTATAATAAGAAAATATTATTTCTTTATTTGATACTAGATTGATAATCGAGAATATGGCGAGATGGTTATGTAAATAAGACACTGAGTGTCCTTATTGATTACAACGTAACGATTTTAATTAAGATAATATTTAAAGTTGAACAATTAAATCTTTTGAAATTTATGCGCTCAAGCATGATATATATTTTATAATAGTGTAAGTGTAGAAGTTATATTTTATCTAAAATATATTTCATATGATATTTTTGATAGTA